GTGCTCTTCAGAGCACAGCCAGCACATCCTGCTCAGAAGGCAGGGCCGGTAAGACTGGGGATCAGAGGATAAGCCCCTCCCCTCTGGGATCAAAGTTTGCCGGCCCTGCCTACGGAAGGGGGAGGTGCTTTCCAGGAGTAAGGAGTCAAGGACTGCCCTACTCCAGGACCACCGGAGAAGGAGATATTTCCTGTCAGACACAGCTGTACTTGTTAAAAAAAGAGGCAAGAAGAAATACAATCAATGGCAAATTGTGTCACCTAAAATAGCAATCCTATTCCAGTAACCAAGTGCAGAAAATGGAGAATGAGTTCTGAATTTGTTTTCTGGAACTAACCTTTTATGAGCAGTACTGACTTTCTTTACTGCAATACCCAAAGTGTAATTTTATTTTATTTTTAAAAATATCTTGAAGAGAATCCTATGCCGGTACTCGGCTGATGCCAAGTGTGTGCCTCCTACATGACACATTTTCCAGTACTCCAAAATGCTCTTGGATGGTGCTGCATCATCAGAGGGCACCTCACCTTGGAGGAATGCCCGACACAACGAAAGTACAGGATTCAGCATCTTAGACTCTATGAACTATTTCAAAATGTATAAGATAAATTTATCTTATTTATTTCTCCTCTCTCTTTTAATCTAGCATGGTCTTTTGCAACAACACTAGAAGGGAACAAGCACTGCTAGCATATATTTTTGACTTGACACTCATTTTGCATTTACAGCTTGCAAAGCTGCCAATGTGGTCTGTATCGCCAAACAAAGAAAATGAAACTCAGGAACAGTGCTGTATACTCTACAGTACCTCCATCCATGTGAGGGCAGGACCACAGTTTATCTTGTTGCCAGCAATGGCTGAGAGTCGCGACAGGTAAGCCATCAGCATCTGGGTGACAAGCTGCAAAGGGCAAGAAAAGACCAGTATAATTCTGCTGATGCAGAATACCTAACCTTTGAGATGAGGTAGCTGATGACAATTATTTGCTGTAGAAAGCATAAAAATATTTCTGAGCTCGACTGACTCTGAGAACTAGATAAATCAGCAATCAATGCAAGGTCTTGGCATTTAAAAAATACAAAAAGATTATCTGGGCAGGTTTTTTATGTGAATACATTTTGCTAGATATTTAAATCCTGATGTCTCCTGTCCATCAAGACTTACAAAATATAGCATATTCTAATGGTGCTCATAGAAACGTTTGGTAGACTTTACATTTTCTTTGAAACAGGTATCTGAGAACAGTTAAGTAACCCAGGAAGCTTCTGTTGTCCAGCATCTAGAAAGCACTTTGAAATGTGACACGTGAGATAGCTCAGTTTACTGGAGAGTTTTGTTTGTTTGTGTTGTCATTAACGGGAATAGTATAGAACTGTCCTTTAGTGGCTAACCCCCCCCCCCCCAAAAAAAAAAAAAAATGGGTCAGGGCATATAAGAGACAGTGGCCAAGCTCCCACTGAGGTGTGTGCCTGTTGTACTACTCCAGACCACTAACATGATTATCTGGCTCCTTCATACCAAAGTTCTATCTTCATAGAAAACTAAGTATCAGGGAGAAGAGTTCTGGTTTAGCCTCCGCCATGTCGTCTAGTTTTCGAAGTGTGGAAAAGCCCCACTGCAACCTGTATCTTTCTGGCACCCCAAGGACCTCTGCCTTTTGGAGTCAGAGGCATGGATGCATCCATCTTTTCACATTAAGGCAGGATCTCTAGATTCCCCAGCTGCTTTCAAGAGAAAAGTAGCTCACCTGCCTGACAGCTTTAAGGGCACATTAACCAAAGCTGTTTTGAGGACCCACCAAAGTTCCCAATGACCCAAGCTCACAGGACAATAACCAAAGTACCTAGAATCTCTCTCACATGTAGACTTTCTGGAAATTCAAGCAAATTCCCAGGAAAGGCCATTAGCCTCTCTCCTGGCTGTTGTCAACTGGTCTTACTCACACTTGCTGCTATTACCTGCAACCAGACACATTCCTCCTTCCTATTATATCATCTGGATACTCCATTACTAATTTCTGTTGTTGTTCAGTCGGACAGTCGAGTATGACTCTTTGCGACCCCATGGACCAGATTACGCCAGGCCCTCCTGTCTTCCGCTGTTCTCTGAAGCTTGCTCAATTTCATGTTCATTGCATCGATGACACTGTCTAACCATCTCATCCTTTGCCATCCCCTTCTTCTTTGACCTTCAATATTTCCCAGCATCAGGGTCTTTACTAATTTACCATTACTAATATCCCCTCACAAAAGAAGGTTTGAACTGTCCTATGACAGCTCAGAGTCTGACCCTTTCACCAAAGATCCTAAAGTTTCATCAATCATAGTGCAACCCAAATTTCATCAGGGGGCAGATGGATCTGCCTCAATGTCATCACATATCCTTGTTGTGCAACATATTCAGCCAATAACAATGCTTTCCCTATTTGTACCCAGGCAATTCCAAGTGCAGAAGAAAGGCACACCAAGCCCTCCATTTGTGGTAGGTAGTTCTGCTTTCAAATCCTCTACCACTGCTGACACCGAAATAACTGGACCTCCTCATTAAGACAGGCAAAGTATGCCTTTTCCTTCTCCTATTCTGCTTTCCTTCACAGACATGACTCTGTATGTCTTCCTGTCTGCCCCCATCTCTTTGCCTCTCCCTTTCCTGTCCTTGGCTGGCCTGCCTTTCAGCAAGTTGGTCTTGCCATGGCACCCTTAACCTGGCTAGGGAGTCTTTCCTTCCTATCCAGAAAATCCTTCCCTGTTCATCCCACCACACCTTCTGGTCCCTTTTGGGCAACACTGGACCTATTTTTACCTTCTGGGTTGGTTTCTCTGGATAAGCTACATGGGAGGAACACAATTTGGGTTAAAAGTAACTCACTGAACACTAGGACTGTGCAAATGTGAATGTTTTTTATTACACTGCCACAAGTAACTTGATATTGTATTGCTGCCATTAAATAGTTTGGTCTCACTGTCTTGTACTGCTGCCATTTCATTTCCTCCTGTCGCTACTCTGTATCTTAGTTTGGTCAATACAATTAATTTCTACTTAAGTACCTCCCTACCCCTTCTTTTCCCCTTCCTGGAAGATTTACATCAGGTTGGGAGCTGTGTATACAATAGACTCAAACAATCCCTTTTCCAGAGTCCATTCTCTGGATTTACATATTTATATAACACTGCTCATGTGCCTACCCCTAAACACAAGGACTGAGTAGGTTTACAAGATGGAGAAATATGCAGACAAGTAAGCCTCCCTACCCGCAGCTAGTGACACAATCCACTGTAGGGTGCTTCCTCAATGAGAAATGAATCATGAAAACAGTATGTAAAAATTACTCTCTGTAAATGAGCCCTGTAAATATGGTGCAAATATTCTCAAGGCGTACCTGTGTTGCTGTGTTTTGTCCTATGGATCTGTCTCTGATTCCCAAGCAGAGGTCTTCCCTTACATTTGCTACCTGATATTCTTTACCTGAAACTGACTCTGGAGCCAAAGCTTGTGCTCTACAACTCAGCAATGGCCTTTCCCCAACTAACTATTCTGTAAAGCAAAACTGCTCATGAAATTACATAGATACGAAGGTATAGCTGGAGAAGCCTTTTTGCTGCCCTTATTTCTCATATACTTTAATTGCAGTACTGATAAGATGAAAATTCTGAAGAATGACTACATAATGTTGAACATTCAGCAATCGAAAAGGGGCAGAATCTACTGGGGGCAAATATCAGAAGACCCTAGTATGACTTAGGAGGGGTGGGCTCAAACACCATCTGCCATTCCTGACTGTAAAGAGGAGAAACCTGTTTACATCAGAAGTGGCTATAAACAAACTTGACTGGTGAGCCCTTTGGCCAGCCACAAAACCACCTCCCACTATTTTTGGAGCATTTTTTTCAAGTTGAAAAAAAGAAGTTTGGATTTTGTGCATTAAAAACCCACAATTTATAACAGCAATCATTTGATGAGGTAGTTAGGAAAGGTACTAGGGAGGAAAGCAGCCTATCTGAAGCAATGGGGGGGGGGGACAGAGGAAGAGCAGATCAGCATTCACTGAGGCAGCTGAATATACATTGGTTGAGAAGCAAACAGAGATAAGCAGCATTTACCCTTCAGTAGAAAAATCCACACCTGCTTAAATTGCAAGGTAGCTCTCTCTTCGAGAGAGAGAAATGCTATTACAATAGAGCTTGTACAGAATACCAGTAATGTCCCAAGTTAAATTGAAATTGTAGACAATTTACATATACACTCATAGATGTTCAACTGGCAGTATAATTCCAATTATCTTGGATGAGAAGGAGCCCATATGAAATAATCCTAGGAATGGATGCAAACACCTATGATACTATATCCTCCAGATAAGTCCAAAACGCTTTGAGCTATGTTATTTTACAGAGGAAATTTCCTAGCTATGTACGACAGAGAGTGAATCAGATATAACCGCCTTCTTGTACAGTTTCTTTTCAAAGACACTAATTTTACTATTCTATTCAATTCAATCAGCCTTTGTTGGCATATATGAATTAAGATGAGCAAGATACAAAAGGAATAAAAATAAGAATATATTACAGTATAATTAGATAATATCCTCAATTATTTCTAAAGTTTCTCCTGGCACAGCTTTATGGCAAGTTGTAAGAACTTTGCCACCTTCTCAGTTATATGAGAGGAGGAATCATTCAACAGGCAGCAAACCTTGTCGCAATCCGATAGGCCCGTCATATTAGCTAAAATAGGCCTTAAATATTTAAAACAAATATCTACATCAAAAGAACAATAGAGGAAAGCATGTGGGATTGTCTCGATGCAAATGGTGTTACAAGGACAATGTCTAGCCAAACAAATATCTACATAGAAAGAACAATAGAGGAAAATATGTGGCATTGTCTCGATGCAAATAGTGTTACAAGGACAATGTCTAGCCGAATATGCTGTATTTTAAATCTGCCATATAAAATCAGAGATGGCATGGCATTAAACCTAGGTAAAGAAAAAGCTCTGCATTTTTGTGGTGCTTGCAGAGAATATAGATATGGGGCCACAAGACCTACTGCCAGTTGGATCTCCAAAAGCAAAAGACAGCAAGTTTTATTAGCCATACTATATAGGTTTTGCTTATTTAATATGTATACAGACTACATCATGCGAGATGCTGGCCTGGATGAATCACATGCGGGAATTAAGATTGCTGGGGAAAAGATCAACAACCTCAGATATGCAGATGATACCTCTTGAGAGTTCCTTGGACTGCAAGGAGATCAAATCAGTCAATCCTCAAAGAAATCAACCCTGACTGTTCCCTGGAAGGCCAGATAATGAAACTGAAGCTCAAATACTTTGGCCACCAAATGAGAAGGGAGCACTCACTGGAGAAGACCCTGATGCTGGGAAAGATTGAAGGTCAAAGAAGACGGGGACGGCAAAGGATGAGATGGTTAGACAGTGTCATAGATGCAACGAACATGAAATTGAGCCAACTTCAGAGGACGGCGGAAGACAGGAAGGCCTGGCGTGATCTGGTCCATGGGGTCGCAAAGAGTCGGACTCGACTGTGCGACTGAACAACAACAAATCCAGAATTCTGCATTTGATCATTTGATATGCACCCATTAACAGGAGCATAGAAAACGAGTCCAGAGATATACCCATAGCAGTGATTTTCCCCTCAATACAAGCTAGTCAGCTTGACATTTCAGACTCTGAGAGCATTTGATGGATAAGACTCAAGGAATCAGAGTTATAGTGCAGACACAGCCAGTATTTAACAGTCATAAGCCACGCCCTAGTTTCAACAACATTTAATCCAGTTTCTAAGCAAAGGGCAGCACGTGTTACACAATAAGACATAACCTAGAATTTTTTATAGAAATTTGGACTGGGCACGTTCCAACAATTTTTTTTACGATATTCATTTGAAAGATTAAAAAAAAATCAGATTGTGCTACTGTTTCCTGTATATGCAAAGTTATATGCTATAAATGTATTTGCTGCTTCCAAGGAGAGACTCTGAATATGTAAACTGTAAACCAAGGCTGTGTTTGAAGTTTGTAATTTAGGGAAAAATGAAAATTTGCTTCCATTAAAGAGCCAGATCAAAGGTACAATAAACAAGGCAAGGCACAGTTAAGCTATGCATAATTCAACAGGTGGGTTTTTGAATTTAGTTATTAAGCTGAGATGAGAAAAAGTTAACAAAACCAAGTATTTTCAATGTGTTGCTATTTTCTGTGCCTAACAGCTATGTCTAACACATCAGAAACCTTTTACTGCTCGTCTCCTGATAGCAAACCGTTATGAAAACATCTGACACATTGAAAGTGAATTAAATTCTTTTGCAAACAATGGACCACACAGCCCACTCCTTCTGTCCATTTACCGTTGTTCATTTGGCAGATCTGTACATTTGAATAGTTTAACAGCAACACATTATCTCCATAACTCCAAGTAATGTTTCTCCACTCCTAGCTCACACACCAGAACAATTTCCATGTTCAAAGACTAAACAAAATAACTACAACTCCTGCCTGCTCACAGGTAGCTGGTTTCCTTCAAGTGGTAATAAGCTTCATATTTTTTTACCTCTGGACTGTCTTTCAAGGCATCAGAACGAGGCAGCTCTGAGAGCTGGGAGAAGCGCCGGTCATAAATACATAGGTGAAGATGCTTATCAAGTACTCTGAAATCTTCATAACTCCGCTTCACAATCCAGCTCTTGCCCTGTAGAGAGGTGAGAGAGAGAGAGAGAGAGAATGAATTAGAGTGTCATGCATTTTCTAACAAATCCTGCTAGTCTGACCAGGAGCATAAAACAGCAATTCTAGCAGAAAGATGGATCAGACACCTCTGCAGTGCTGTCAACTCTCCTAAAGCACATCTCTTGCAAGTTTAAGATGAGGGTCTCACTGTTAACTTAGAAACTGCCTTATATCACATGTATGTCCTTTCTTTATGGCATTGTTTCACACATTTTGGCACTGAACAAATGAAGGTGCCTCATGCCAAACCACTGGTATATCTAGTCCTGCCCCACTTATTCTGAAAGGCAGAATCCTTTCAAAGTTCTAAGCATAAGCCTTCCCCACAGTTTTTATCCAAGAACAGGATATGCTAGGGATTGCACAGTCCACCCTCTGTGCTGCAGTCCCTCCCTGTAAAGATACTATTCCTCAGTTGCATGGGCTTGCCTGGAATTGTTCTCTACAGTTACTCAGTTATTTTCTTAATATTAAGCACAGATGCTGCTGAAATTCTTGTCCCCTATGCTTCGATTATGTAAGCATGAGACACAAGTATATGCGCATACACACATTATCTAGATTTAATATACAAATCTGAGCTGGAGAAGAATTGTTCTTTCCTTCCCAGTTCTTCTTGTCTCTGCCACATTTTGGTCTAGTTGAAACTTCTAAACAGTCTTCAAAAGCAGCCCCATGTGCAGCTTGTCTGTGGCAATCTAACCCAGAGGTGATCAGCATGGGTTAAACAGCAGAGAAGAACTAAATAGAACCTTGCAGGGCACATATTTTCCCATATTTTTAAAAAAAACACACACACACAAATCTGACAGTTCTTTACCAGAATCAAATGTAATGAAGAGAACATTTTCCCCTAAATCCAAAATTATTAAGCTATTTTATCATGTTAATGAACTCTGTAAGGATAATGCACATCATACATCTGATGGATTCTCCTCATTTCCAATGCCGTATTCTATTTTTAGCTGTTATGAATGCTCTTTTAAATCTATATTCTATTTGCCAAGAAGTCTTCAGCATATCTTTAGTATCAGTTAATACTGAAGAGGCAAGAGGTAGCTATGAATCCAGCCCTATAAGCTCTTTCTGCTAATTTACATATTGGCTTTGCAGCTCTGAACTATGAAGTACAGCAGTAAATCTGCAACTGCCTCTGTTATACCAACAATGGGATTTAAAAAAAAAAGCTTTGAAGAAAGGAGTATGAGGTTTTATAACTCTGCATTTACTTGTGCCTTAACTGTTCTGTGAAGCTGTGAGGGAATTATATTTTTGTGTTACATTATTCAGTATTTTAAACAGTTAACAGCTAACATTTATTTACTCAAAAGGAACACAACCCTGAATGTAAGATGTCCTCCTTAAAAAATGGTATATACACACAAAATTATTACTGGACATAAATGTAACTTATATGGCAACATAAGACAACTGCCTCTTTTTTTTTGGAAGGCATAGCTGGAAAAAAAAAGTAGACTTCCCTTTGAGTAAATACAGTATATGACATTTCAGCCGTAGGGAACTGAATCACACATGTCCTTTCTTTCCTGGTCTTTTTTCAGAGGACATTACAAAAAGTCCTATTGGTACAATATGACATTCCTGATATTTTAACTATGACTAAGAGATGGAGTACAGGGCTTTAAGATCACTCATTCCCTTCTTCCCACCTGAGCATTCTCCCTCCATCCCTGCACTTCACAGCCAGTTCTTACTCTCATTAATTGTTGCATTATACTACCCAGGATTAACTCAACCAGATTTCATATTGACTACTTCCAAATCAACTAACTGTATAGATTGCAATAAGGTATAACCAGGGGTAGCGGAGCTCCTGCAGTAAGGAGCCCAGGGGGTGGGCACATGCAGCAAGCCCCGCCCCCTGCTCCCAGCAGCCCTCAGTCAGGCCACAAGGAGCAAGAAGCAACCAGGTAAGTTGCAGAGCCCCTCCCCACCTTCAGGTACAAGCTCTCCCTCCTCCGTGAGGGCAGATCTGCACATCCCCCCCCCATAGCTAGCAATCCAAAACAGTCCAGTGGCAACTTTAAGACCAAGTTTTATCAGGTACAAGCTCTCCCTCCTCTGTGAGGACAGATCTGCGTGTGTCTCCCCCCCCCATAGGTAGCAATCCAAAACAGTCCAGTGGAGCCTGAGTGGTGGGTGTTGCCTTCTGACACACTTCCAGTGATGTTAGGGGGTTTGGCATATGCAAATACGTTATGCTAATAAGTTATGGTAATGAGCTCCTGTGTCTCTTTTTCTACGAAATGACCCCTGGGTATAACTCAAACGCTTACTTCTTAAATAGTGTAGAAAATGATATCGCAACAGCAGAGTTATCTCAAGTTCACTTTTCCTAGTGCCAAGTTACAGGCCGTGTTCCTGATTTTGTAACTGCAGCTGTATGCACACCAAAGTGGGCAAAAACTTTATATAGAATGCCTGGTACATCTTCTGATTGCAGTCACTTCACAACATGGTTAGGCATAACATTTAATGGGCAGATATACACTTTGCTGAACATGGGCATAGGCCTTTAATATCACACAAGCTTTTAAAGCAGGTGTTAAACAATAATTGAGAGGTGAGATTTGAAGACATACTCAGCTTGAAGCTTATTTGGGGTTTTTCCTGATCCTGTGACGAATTAGTAACTGAGCATTCTCAATGTACTCTCCTACTTTCACTTACTGGCTATATAGGACTGAACATGTTGTTAGACTGGAACGACACTGCATAGCACCACTGCTAAAGAACCCTAAAGAAAGTTAAGATGATTACTGTGCTAACCATTTAAATAGCCAATGAACTCAAGATCTGATTCTTCCATCGGTGGACATAAGGTTCTTAAAGCTCTTAAGATGGTACCAATGAAACGGGCCAAGTAGATTGAAAAAGAAGATTTAGAACCACAGCTCCAGAATCAATTTTCTTTTTTAAAAAAATGCAAACGACATGAGGATGAAATGTAGATACAATTTTTTTTAAAAAAGATTGAATGCTCTCAAAAGCCTAATTCATTATCTGAGCCTTCTCTAAAGCTACCAGTGCAGCTCACTCCTTTTATACTTTCAAGGTAAGAGCTCATCATGCTTGAAAGAGAAGCCCTCTTTGTAAAATATTCTCACTCTATTATGCCATCTTGTAGCTATAACAAACAGTGCTAAAAAGATTCAAGTGGGTAGCTATGTTGGTCTGAAGCACCAGAACAAAGTTTGAGTCCAGTAGCACCTTTAAGACAAACAATGTTTAATTCTTCAAAGATTAAGATCGATTTTGTTGGTCTTAAACGTTCCCCTGGACTCAAACTTTGTTCTAGTGTTAAAAAATGGAACCCTGTTTATTTCTCATCTTTATATACATTTGGACTTCTATCACTTGCATTTTGCAAGCTTTGGTATTTGTCTCCTTATACAACCAACACAAACCCAAAGGGCAAATAATTTACAATATAAACTTAATAATTAAATATGGCTAATCACAACATTCATGATGGCCAATGCTTGCCAGGCCTATGAGTCACCCACACCTAGGTGGGAACATTAACCACTGGTTGTGTTCATCAACAGTTTATGTCACTCCAGTTGCAGATGTCTAGTTTCCTCCTTGAGTTGGCTGTTCCACCCAGTGATGCAAAGCACCAGCCTCCTTGCGTTACCTTACACAGATATTCTTGTTTCAATGCTCCCTGAAAAGGAGATAACAGATCCAAAGGTTGCTTCCCACTTTCAACTGCTTGCAGCATCTGTATCAACTGGGGCAGGAGGATAAGAACATCCAGGATCTTTTTGGGAGATTCCCAACATTTATCCTACTTCTTTGCCTAGATGTGTTAAGCAATCTAGGTCAGATGTTGAGTTGTTTCTGCCATACCCATGACAGCATCATATATTTGAAAGGCTGTCACTTAGAGGAGGGCAAGGAGCTGTTCTGTGGGCAGCAAAGGATAGAACTCGCAATAATGGTTTTAAATTATGGGCGGGAAGGTGCTGACTGGATATTAGGACATTTTTTTTTACTGTAAGAGTAGTTCAGCAGTGGAATCAGCTGCATAGGGAGGTGGTGAGCATCAAGCAGCAGCTGGGCAAACACTTTTCAGGAATGCTTTCAGGCTGATCCTACATTGAGCAGAAGATTGGACTAGAAAGCCTATATGGCCCCTTCCAAGTCTATAATTCTATGAAACTTCCAGCACAGCTGTGTAAACATCTGATTGGGCCAGTGGGTCACCTGTGGCATATTGTCTGCCAATATGGACATATTGTTTTCTTAGCTGATTTAATTGGTTGGCAAGTTAGTCAGTTATTTTTATTACGTATACCCATTGGCCATTATAACATTGATACAAACAATATACACCTTGCACAAGTAGTTTATGTACACACTTCAAGTGCAGATTATGAAAACAGAAGGCTTAATATCCCTAAATTAAGTTGCTCCTTATATAGTTTTATTATGGAGATTTATTCTAAATATTTCTGGCTGCTACAGTACATAATGCATTATAGCAACATACTTGGCGTCTGACAGTAGAGCACAGACCATGACAAAATCAGACCAACTTATTGTAGGAAATCCAAGAGAGCACAGGGGAATCCCTCTCATTTGGAAACTTGTGCTTGAGAGTACGTAGGCAACATTTAAGGTTCAAAATATACCAGGCAACAGCAATCAGTTAACAAAGAAATCCTGACAAATTAGCACATACAGTACTGCCCAAACCATCCAGAGCATCTTGCTGCACAATTTTATCACAAATATGTTAAACTATGGACAAGTTCAGGGCCAGGATGGATAAAAATATATGACCTACCACCACTTATGCACATCATCAGGTAAACACAATTAAACTACATGCGGGAGTCCATGCCTAGTGTGAACATGCAGTGAAAATATGCACATAATTTGCATACTACTTTTTGATTAATACAACAGATACTAAGCAGCGGATGTAATTAACTG